CGCGCCAGTAGGGGGAAAGGTAGTCATACACCTGACCCTGAAGTAGGATTCCTCCGGCTAACTCCTTCTGGAAGGTAAAACCTATCGGGAAAACGTGCAAGGCTTGGGCGCGGGACAACGGGGTTCGGAGCTCGACTGAGTCGGGTCCAGGAGCGTTTGCCAGCTGGGGGAAATACAAGTGCCAGAGAGCAACGAAGCAATCCAACTGAACGGGTGTGAAGCTGCGTCGCATGGTCTCTTCCGACAGCCAGTCCGACACTACACCGTTCCCTGGCTTCCCCTTGTACTCCCAAACAGTTCGCATGCCGGAAGCTGGTTGAACTCTGCGACAGTCGGCGATGGTGACTAGACCTAAACTCTCTTTAGCTCCTGGAGGCAATTTGAAGTCGGCCTCCCACGCATACTGGGCGAACTCTTCAGCTAGCGAATGTCGGAAAGGAAGTTCTCGGAGGTGGAAAGGCTTCACATCGGCCGTAGATACCCTTCGGCTGCGCTTCTTTCTACCATGCATCATGACTTCTACGCTGAGACCAGACTGGATCACCCCCGTCACTTTCCACGGTCCTGAGTAGAGATCGTGTTGCAGCTTTCTTCCCCTGTGGCCACGATGTCGACTACTCTCGGACTCGCGCACGAGCACCAGGCTGTCCTTCACAATACCCACTCCTGCTGACGACCTCTCGATGGAGGCGTTGGCTTTCGCGCGTGCAGCCACTCGAAGCTCATGCCGTTTCGAGGGCGAGTTGTGCTTCACGGAGATTTTGCTTGCGCCTCTCCACGAAGTTGTCGAGTCCCCGTTCCTGATCCATCTCGTCCGTGAGAGGAACAAACGAACCCAGTGACGTGCGAGGCTTGCGGCCGAACAGGAGCTCGAAGAGGGTCATGTTGGATGGGAGCGAGGTGTCTGGCAAGTTGCGTTTGATCCACATCGCAGGCGAAACATAAGTCATCCCATCGGTCAGGCCAGGACCTACACAGCTCAGCCAATAACTCCTGCAGCCATCCCCCCAGTCGTTCTACCGACCCTTGGCCTCGAGGGTGATCAGCAGCACTAAACACGATGTTTGCCCGCAGCCATCTGCACAAGTGCTTCACCACCTCTGCGCCAAACACTGGGCCTCCGTCGCAACGCACCGTCTTTGGAAGTCCGTAAGTTAGACACAGCTCTACCACCACTCGGGCTACGCTTACAGCTTGTTTGGTTCCTAGGGGGAACCCAAAGGGGAACCTTTGAGGCGTGTTCTACCACGATCATCATGTAGTTGTTGCCAGTTTGCGATGGTGTGTCGATCATCAGGATGTCCATTTGCAACATGTCCCACGGCTCAAGCGGTCTACCTGGCATCATCGCTACTCGTCTGCTGAGCGGTCTCTTGCGTCTACGAAAGGCACATGACAAAAACATAGTGTCGAGTGTCGTTCGTCATCGTGGGCCAGTGGAAATGATAATTCTCACTGCGCGTTGAACCACGGCCCGACATCGACTTGCGCGAAGGTAAACCCGGGCTCCGGGACAAACCCTTCGCTCCCCATCCCGAAGCCCTAGAAATTAGACTTAACAACCGAAAACACCAAGTGACACTCTGACGTCAATTACTCTAAAAAAAAACGTCCCTCGCTTGGTGAATTCACTGTAGTTGCAGTCCGGCTCGAAACACCTAAAAAAAAACTGGCCACCCAGGAAAACGCCCATTGCGCAAAGCACCTACAACACCGAACCCCACAGCACAAACCCTCGTGGGTGCTACCGGGCACAGGACCACCCTTCGACGGCCAATCAGACTAGTACATCTACCAAGTACGGTCTCCGAACAGATAAGCTTTACTGAACCTCAACTGGGGGGCGCACTCAAAAATCGAATGGACGATGCATAAAGACCGAAAAGAGACTCTTATCAACAGTTGTCGAAAACTATCCATGGTACATAAATACGACCGAATCTTGAACGGACATCCATGATCACCCGCAGACGGTCGCACTAACCCAACGCATCCCCATCGTCCAGCAATCACACTAGCTCGAAATCCTTCCCCCAAGGCTATCTCGAATGTCTTTCCAGTTCGCGTCTGGACAGCTCCTCCCAGTTCTCGTTAGTGTAGCGCACGCGCCAGTAGGGGGAAAGGTAGTCATACACCTGACCCTGAAGTAGGATTCCTCCGGCTAACTCCTTCTGGAAGGTAAAACCTATCGGGAAAACGTGCAAGGCTTGGGCGCGGGACAACGGGGTTCGGAGCTCGACTGAGTCGGGTCCAGGAGCGTTTGCCAGCTGGGGGAAATACAAGTGCCAGAGAGCAACGAAGCAATCCAACTGAACGGGTGTGAAGCTGCGTCGCATGGTCTCTTCCGACAGCCAGTCCGACACTACACCGTTCCCTGGCTTCCCCTTGTACTCCCAAACAGTTCGCATGCCGGAAGCTGGTTGAACTCTGCGACAGTCGGCGATGGTGACTAGACCTAAACTCTCTTTAGCTCCTGGAGGCAATTTGAAGTCGGCCTCCCACGCATACTGGGCGAACTCTTCAGCTAGCGAATGTCGGAAAGGAAGTTCTCGGAGGTGGAAAGGCTTCACATCGGCCGTAGATACCCTTCGGCTGCGCTTCTTTCTACCATGCATCATGACTTCTACGCTGAGACCAGACTGGATCACCCCCGTCACTTTCCACGGTCCTGAGTAGAGATCGTGTTGCAGCTTTCTTCCCCTGTGGCCACGATGTCGACTACTCTCGGACTCGCGCACGAGCACCAGGCTGTCCTTCACAATACCCACTCCTGCTGACGACCTCTCGATGGAGGCGTTGGCTTTCGCGCGTGCAGCCACTCGAAGCTCATGCCGTTTCGAGGGCGAGTTGTGCTTCACGGAGATTTTGCTTGCGCCTCTCCACGAAGTTGTCGAGTCCCCGTTCCTGATCCATCTCGTCCGTGAGAGGAACAAACGAACCCAGTGACGTGCGAGGCTTGCGGCCGAACAGGAGCTCGAAGAGGGTCATGTTGGATGGGAGCGAGGTGTCTGGCAAGTTGCGTTTGATCCACATCGCAGGCGAAACATAAGTCATCCCATCGGTCAGGCCAGGACCTACACAGCTCAGCCAATAACTCCTGCAGCCATCCCCCCAGTCGTTCTACCGACCCTTGGCCTCGAGGGTGATCAGCAGCACTAAACACGATGTTTGCCCGCAGCCATCTGCACAAGTGCTTCACCACCTCTGCGCCAAACACTGGGCCTCCGTCGCAACGCACCGTCTTTGGAAGTCCGTAAGTTAGACACAGCTCTACCACCACTCGGGCTACGCTTACAGCTTGTTTGGTTCCTAGGGGGAACCCAAAGGGGAACCTTTGAGGCGTGTTCTACCACGATCATCATGTAGTTGTTGCCAGTTTGCGATGGTGTGTCGATCATCAGGATGTCCATTTGCAACATGTCCCACGGCTCAAGCGGTCTACCTGGCATCATCGCTACTCGTCTGCTGAGCGGTCTCTTGCGTCTACGAAAGGCACATGACAAAAACATAGTGTCGAGTGTCGTTCGTCATCGTGGGCCAGTGGAAATGATCACGCAGAAGGGACAGCGTTGCTCCTACCCCTGCATGACCATGTCGCGTGTGCACCAACGCAATGATGTCAGCTATCATGGCGACTGGAATAGCAGGCAGTTTTCTTCCCTTCCCATCTTCGTACCGAATCACATAATTTGCGCCTACGCTATACCTGTCGCACCCACTCCCCCCCTGGCTAGAGTCAACTCCATTGCCTTGCGAATCTGACCCAGATGGGTGTCGTCTCGTTGCCGATGCGCTAGCTCAGACGGCCTCGTGAGTACCCGTGCCGTCAGATCGATGGCTGATGCTCCCCCAATCGCCTGGCTCGACGAATACGTCGGAACCTCCCCCCGTGCGGCCAGCACCTCACCGATGTCGTCGTGGCCAGGTCGAACGGGAGACGGCGGTAGTGTCGGTGGCGACAGCGCCGGAGCGGAGGATTCCACCGTGGTGGGACCGTGGCCTCTCTTTCCGGGATGGCCTCCCGTACGCTTGTCGGGGGCAGCTGCGCGTCGTCGATCGGTCGTAATCGCACCGAAGGGGTACGGGTCCGGCGCTGCGGCGGGGGGCATCAGGCTCAGGGTCAACAGCAGTACATGCAGCGAAAGGCAACGCTCGAAGGGCGGACAGTTGGAAGTCGGCCACCTCCGGAGTGGGGTGAGAGGTGTGGAAGTCAGCATCGCCTACTTGGTCTACCTGCACAGGGTCCAACTCGGCCAGCCTTACACCCTTCAACTCCGGTCCAGAGATCTCTAACGAAGCGCCTGCAGCAGCGGACGACAGATAATCCGGAAACGAATCGTCGACGTCGACCTCTACAGGGTTCGCAACGGGCAACCGGGACAAAGCATCGGGCACTACGTGCTCTACTCCCGCCTTCCATTCCAGCTCCATGTCGTACTCCATCAGCCGAAGCGCCCACCTGTCCAGCTTGGGGCAGAGTTCACGGCTTTGGAACAACCATGTGAGGGCAGAACAGTCTGTCACAAGTTTGAAACGTCTACCCGCTAGGTACGGCCGGAAGTGGTCTACCGCCCGCAGGACCCCCCTGCATTCCCGTGCCGTCCCGCGTCTAGCATCGGTTTGTGGCTTGCGAACGCCACCGCTCTGGTGACACCATCGATTGACTGCATGAACGAAGCTCCTACACCCAGCGTGCTAGCATCCGTGTGTAGTTCGAACGGACGCTGAAGGTCAGGGTAAGCGAGAACTTTCGGGGAAGCCAACGTTTCTCGTAAAGACTGGAAGGCGTCTTCCTCAGCTGCTGACCAAGGGATAGGAAGCTTGCGCGCACGTTTCGAAGCGGAGGCGTTGTTGCGCAGGATGTTGGTGAGCGGAGCGGCAGTCAAACGTAGTTGCGTACAAACTGACGCAAGTAGCCGGTGAGACCCAAAAACGTGGGCAGCTCTTCTACTGTATGTGGGCGAGGCATGCGTGTGATTGCATCTAGCTTAGTCGGAGCAGGGTACAGGGCCCGTGTTGTCAACGGTCATGCCGAGGAACTCCTGCGATGCTCCGCCAAAGATGCATTTCGCGAAGTTCACTGACAACCCTGCAGCCAGAAGGCGGTTCAGAACGAGCGTCAGAGTGGCGAAATGTTCTTCCCATGTGTCGCTAGCGATGAGAATGTCGTCAGGCCAGCTAAACACGCCCAATAGATGCCCCAGGGCCGACTTTACTCTACGAGTGAAGGCCGCCGGAAGCACCGTCAGGCCGAAACCCGCGCGAGTGAATTCACAACGCATACCATCCGCATCTCGAAAGGCCGTCTTGTAATGGTCGTTCTCGGCGATTTTCATCTGGTGAGAACCGGAGGCGAGGTCTAGCTGAGTGAAATAATACTTCTTGCCCTTCGACCCGCCGAATATCGTCTGCATGTCACCCAAACCCCCACTATCCGAGACCAAGAGTTTGTTGAGTTCACGCCAGTCGATGCACAGTCGCAGCATACCATCCTTTTGCTTAACGCACAAGCACTGGGCAGCCCACGGTGACATCGATTGACGGATCACTCCTCGGTCTACCAACTGCTGAATCTTTGCCCTGATCATGCGTCGTTCTTCCGGAGAGAAACGCCGTTGCTTGGCTGTGAAAGGTGTGCAAAACTCGTTGATCAGAGGAAGGTCAAGCTCACCGTTGATGCAAGCCGGCACTCGATTTTTGGTAGATCGGAAAGAGGCCGTCCTCGATGAACGCTGCGAGAACGTTGACGAGTTGCTGCTTCTTGAGCGACCCCGGCGTCCCCAGGTTAGCGTCCTCTACGCGAACACGAGGGATGGATTCCCCATCAGGTGGGGACGGGCTCGGGGCGCGCGGTTCACGGGTAGCCGGGGGTGGGTGGGTCGGCAGCAGAGGGGGTGGTGTCAAACAGCGAATCGAAAGCCGGCTTGTCGCGAACATTGAGTGCTACCATGCGAGCTGTCACCCGGCTACCCTCGACTGCCACCTTCTCCTTACTACGGTTTAGCAACTTGCAACAAACAGGCGACCCCGGAACCCACCACATTACCGCGCGAGCTACTCCCACTACAGCTCCCTGCTCTAAATCAAACCGCTCAGTCGGCGCTATTATAGCTGCCTATCCTGCGGTTGCGGCCCCACAGCCGCAGCTTCCACCGCGCGAGTGGTGAAACCCTCGACGACGGTGGTCTCCGGAACTTGTCGCGCGTCCCACTCGAAGGAGGTGTCGTCCTCCCACACCACGTCCTCGTAGCTGGGCACATCTGTGGAAACCCGAGTTCGATTCTCGGATTGGACACCATAAAACGGATGGAGAGGCTAGGGATAGGGGCTGGTCCCATGTCTTTGTGGGTCTGTGTGGTCTCTAGCCAGTCAAGTGGCAGGACCCTGGGTGTCAAGAGGAATTGTCCAGATAGGAATGTACATGGGACCCAGCCTACAAGCACTGCAACCGACCTGATGATAGCAGCCTCTCGATCGGTACCGAGTTCGGTAGATGAGCCGGAACAGCGGTAGTAGTGAGCCTCGAAGGTGGCTTGTGAGAAGGAGTAGAAGGTCTCCGGTCGTGGATACGGTATCTGCTTGTTGATTATTGCTAACTTAGGGCAAGCAAGGAGAAGAAGTATGGAGAAGAGAAGTGAAGGCAAGGTGACTGAGCAACCTAGCCTCTAGACTGGGCCCGGCAAACCGGGCCTTACTGCTAGTACCTGTTGGGAATAAAGTATTCTCCCAAAGGTTCAACTCCTATTAACCGTAACAATGTAACCGTAACATAGGCGCATGGACGCATACACATAACAGACACGAACAGTCCCAAATGCGCGCCAAAAAAAATCACAGGAACCACGAGTACTCTAGGCCAGGGTATAATGGGTGTGTGCATGTTCGGCGGACGGCTGCAGCGCAGGGGAACACAAGGCACAAGCAAAGGGTGTGTTGACGCCGGAGCCCACTGATTGAGACAAGCCGCAGGCCGTTGAAGGGCGAGCGCATGACAGGAAAGAAGGAAACAAAAAAAGCACCAAAACGTGTCAGCTAGAGGAAAAATCAGAGAGGCGCGAAAGGGCCTGCAGGCCACACGGCTACAGCATGACGAGCGCATCTACGGCTGGTCAACAGCAAGGGCACGGAAGGAGACCATATAACGGAATGAGAGGCTAGGGATATGGGCGGGTCCTATGTCTATGTGGGTCTGTGTGGTTCCTAGCCAGTCAAGTGGCAGGACCCTGGGTGTCAAGAGGAATTGTCCAGATAGGAATGTACTTGGAACCCAGCCTTCAAGCACTGCAATCGACCTGATGATAGCAGCCTCTCGATCGGTACCGAGTTCGGTAGATGAGCCGGAACAGCGGTAGTATGAGCCTCGAAGGGTAGCTTGTGAGAAGGAATAGAAGGTCTTCGGTCGTGGATACGGTATTCGCTTGTTGATTATCGCTAACTCAGGGCAAGCAAGGAGACTGAGCAACCTAGCCTCTATTATAGACGGGGCCAGGCAAACCGGATCTGCTAGTACCTGTTGGGAATAACGCACTCTCCCAAAGGTGCAACTCCTATTAACCGTAACAATGCAACCGTAACAGGAAAGTCCAAGTTGACAAATATTTATCTCATTCTTGTGAAATAAAACAAAAACGAGCGTATTTCAGCGTCGCACCGAGGAACACCAGTCATACCACTGTCTCGGCGGAGACCAAAAGCTAACCTGATGGCTTTTCCTTCCATCTATCGCGAAGAGTTCCCTGAACCTCCCCCCGCGGCTTTTGGCTCTACGGCTCTGTTGAGTTTCATGAGTAAACGAATGAACGGTCTTCGAAAGAAGGTACTGCGTCTCACGGTACTCGCCACCCCTTCCCTTCGCGTACAAATACAGACAGCGCCCGCAGTTGAGAAATTTTTTTGTAATAAAAAGGGCTCAACATTGTACGAAAAATACGCAAAAAGGGTTACGTAAGAAACATAGCTCAATCTCGGCCACAACGTAAGAAACGCCCGAATAAGAAACGTGATGGTGCGATACCCCCATGACATCAGAAATCTGCGGTGCTCCTAACCCCCTCCCAAGCTGAACAGAAGTGCATTTTTTTTTATGGGGCGGAGTCCCCCCCCGCCCGCCCTCCCGCGCCCCTGCTATTCACAGTGAGTGCTGTACTGTGGTACTGCCACATATCGCGGACAACCATATGCTCTCCGCTGTTGTACGGGTTTGATGGCACTCTCCACCACCTCTCTTGAGGGAGGGCTTGATGATGTGCATTGTCCTCAGAGATCTAAAGACAGAAAAAAGGAAATACGAAGTACTTGTTGTAGTCTAAGGAATAAGAGAATCGGGAGGATGCGACAGTTCAAAGGAAGAAGAAATGCCATTTACGAAATGGACGACTTGGGCCGGAACTTCGACCCAAAAGAAGGGATTGGTGAAGCTCGAACCGATTTTGACGTTTCTTAACTGCGGGCGCTATCTGGAGGATCGAACGTCCTCCAAGCGAGAGGAAACCTAGCCCTCGGTGAGGGACGAGGTTGTGCACGACTCTTTTTTGGCGGCATCAGATGGACCGCCGGTAGATGGGAGGAATCTATCCATACCAACACCCAGTTGCACCTGCAGCAGCAGACCGCTCGCTACTTCTGCTGTCTGTGCGTCGCTACTTCTGCACTCACTGCTGTGGTGCGTGGTTCGTGCAAAGAGCGGCCCGCAGGCCCGCAGGACACAAAAAAGGGGGGGTACGCGGCATAAACATGGAGATCCCCATTTTCGTATATTCTGCCGAGCCCCCGGTGCTCAGCAAAACAAGTTTCCTTCAAGCGGGGAGTTTCCTTAACGCGAGCGTCCTTTAAGCGGGGTCGACTGTGGAGGACTCCAGAATATCTGTCGTTGATTTCTGTTGACTTGCGGACCCCTCGGGGCCAGTTTATTTTTGTGCACCTTTTTAGGGTAAGTCAACCTGAGACCACGGGAATCGACCGCGTCGAGTGTTGGATCAGTACGAACATACATGCAACACCTCAAGTGATCAGTGGGCCTCAGCGGGAGACAAGCGGGGGGACAGCAGTTCGTCGCGGATGAGAACGGCGTGTTGCTCCGGAACAGGGACGACATCCTCCAGCGGTGGGCGAGATTCTTCAGCACCCTACTCAACACCAAATCTCCCACCCTGAACCCACACATAATCGAACGAGTGACGCAGCGGCCAGCGACACGTGACACTCAACGGTTGGGAGATGTGCTAGAACTCGAGGAGGTGGCACGGGCAACGAGAGGCCTCAAGAACTGGAAGGCACCCGGCCATGACTCCCTCCCTGCCGAGTTGCTAAAGATCGATGACGACGAACCCTTCGTCCTGGTACACCTCCATACCATCCTCGCCAAGGTGTGGAACGGAGGAGATATTCCGCGAGAGTGGAAGGATGCAACCATCAAGGTGCTGTACAAGAAGGGTGACCGGTCCAACTGTAACAACTACAGGGGGATTTCGCTAATATCTCACGTAGGCAAGGTCCTCATCAAGATCATCACCAACCGTCTAAGTGCCTTCTGCGAAGCCAACAACATCCTCCCGGAGGAACAGTGCGGATTTCGACCCGGGCGATCCACCGTCGACATGCTGTTCGTCGTGCGCCGCCTCCAGGAGCTGGGGCGGAGAAAGAAA